TCTGCTTTTAGGTTTAACGATCGTGTCGCGTGCTACAGGTGTTAGAGGTAATGGCTTAGACAGGCATTTACGTTTTTTTATGGCCCGACAATCGATACAATCGACTACGACATCGTCATTATTACCGGGAAATCTAAAAGCATATCTAAATTCGTTTATGATTAGGCCTAATTTCTTTATAAGAGCCATCAATTTATTATTCGTGAATGAAGAATGATCGGACGATACGTCTTTCGATGACTAGACTCGAGGGTGTACTTGGTCAGTCAAAACACCGTTTTTGGTTTTTATGCTTTTACGATTTGTTTCTTAGGGGAATTACTCAAGTTTCCTCTGTAATTTTTTCAAAGTCGCCAAAACTACCGAAATAAGACTTGTTCTCTTAAATGTAATCATTCTCATGTAATATTTTGTATTTGTATTTTGTATTTTTTAAAGCCTAATTTTTTCAAAATGTACCATTTTGCCAATCACCTTTGTACAATGGGGTAGTTAAATTTTTTCTGACCTATACTTTTTATGGTTTTATTCAAGGCGTTTTGTAATTTTAAACATTTCTGTGAAATCGGAATTTCAATTGAGTTTACCGTTTTCGAGATATTTACAAAAAAAATCTCCTAATTACGTCACTAGGCTATTGACAACGTTGCCAGCTTTTTCTATGGTTGCCAGTGTGTTTGTACATAACCTTTTCGGGTATTTTCTGACATAACCGAATGAAATCATTAACAAGACAACTTGACAACAGGGTAATTTTCAACCAATAGAAATCTTAGAATGTTGGTTACATGGCGAGGTTTGTAACGTCATAAAAATTTGTAAATATCTCGAAAACGGTAAACTCAATTGAAATGTTTAATATTACAAAACGACTTGAATAAAACCATAAAAAGTATAGGTCAGAAAAAATTTAACTACCCCATTACACACATTTTCTACAAAAAATTATGTTAAAATTTAACAAAATAAAATTAAAAAACTCATGTTCACAAATCTGCTTTTTATAACAGTGGACTATAAATTTATTAGTTTATAATTTTTTTGACAAAAATAAGAAGGGACAGAAGGTTGGTGGCCGCTGGTCTCCCTTCCCCACGGGGGGAGTACGTTGTATGGCCCCGCTCTAAATCCCAAGTGGGTGAGTTGTCTTCATCAGCCTGTCTGGCGTATTAGAGACCTCGAGGATGTCTTGTCGGAAACCAGAGCAATGCAGCGGTGTGTTATGTTTCTACCATACATTTCCCCCCTTTAAAGTTGCTACATCTAATGTTTAGTAGACTTGTATGGTTATTTTTTTAGTTTAAGTATATTACACTGGTCTACACACATAAAATAATATTATTTAACTTGAATTTAAAATTGTATGGCTATAAAAAAATTTACCACCTAATGTACCTTTTTTAATCTTATTGGGACAAAAACCTATGATTTGTCAAAGTAATGAGATTATTTTTATTTACAGAATAAACTTTTTTTACTGTTAATAAAATTTACTATAATGAAGCAGCAATTTATAAAAAAAAATGTTCATCCAACAAAGTAATAGTTGTTATCATATTTTCATGGCAATAAGAAATACTTTATGTTTATATTAAATCTTTGTCGAACTTTAAATGTTTTTGTTAAATCTATAGTTATGTGTGAATTGCGCTCACATATAGTAATGTGCAGTTGTTATTGTAAAATTTGTTCATTTTACTATGGCATATTTGTCTTTTTAGATTACTATCGTTGTAATTCAAATTAATTTTATTTCAGTTACGTTAAGAACAATAATAGTTATTTATGTTATTAGGTTAAGAAGTAAGGCTTTTTGTGCTAAGCTCAAAGTTTAAAGGCCGACGCGTAGCGGAGGCCTACAATTGAACGAAGCACAAAAAGGCACTTTTTGGCCGAATGGCATACAACATTTTATCTTCAAAGCATTTTATATAGGTCAATTTAATTCAACATCAAAGCGGCCTAACCTCACTTTTTTAGAATCTCATTTATATATTAGCTAAAGATTACATTAAATGTACAATAATTATTATTGCTTTTAGAAGCAGTCATAGTTTGACAATACCTAGCAACATGATTTAAGTAGAAATGGCTTTTTGCTATTACATTGAATTCAATTAATTGTTTAATAAATAGGTAAGTATCTAATTTCAATTTGTTTGGATTTTTATTTAAAAAATAGGTACTTTGGAATGTTTAATTAAGCTGTGTTAATTTCACTGAAAACTTAAAGCAAATTAAAACTTAAAGATAATTTAAATCGTAGAAAAAGAATCGTGCGTTTTCTTGGTTGCCTAACCTCACTTTTTGTTTTATTATTCATATTATATTTTACAATAATTTAATGAAAAATATTAAACATTAACAGTAAAACAAACAAATTAGTGCTTATTATAAATAAATTAAACCAGTTTGGTACGTTAATTTCTTAGAAAAGGATTAATTTGACAAAACAATACCCCTAGCGAGAAAAAATCGAATCAATTACTTGCCTCATAAAATTTTTTATCGGCCTAGGCCATAACAAGGTATTTCTTTATCGAATGTTGACAACAATAAAGTTTAAATTATAAACCGCGGGAGATAAAATATTTTATTGCTACAAAAAGACTTTTTTAATATTTACTATATTAACTTTATAATCCACAGTTTGTGATTATATTATATTTATTGATTTCACTGGTGCGAGTGAAGTGTTGTAAAATTTAGTATGATAAAAATATCAAAAAGATCACTAAGAAAATTAAAATTTCGACGATTTTTAAAAGAAATATTTAAGGTCTATTCTATAAACGAAGCAGACTTGTTGTTTACAAAGTGAGTTCATATTTTTTATTTTGTACATCATATAATATGGTTTATTTTTTTTGTCATAATAAATAATTTGTTTTAATACCTTGCAATTATTTAAAAAAAAACTACCCAACACCCAACAGTAGATTGAAAATGTGACCAGTGTTACAATAAAAATATTTTATTGAATTAACAATTAAATTGTTGTTAAATTTACATAAATTTTATTAATATTATAAAAAAGTTTTATTTTAAACGAAAAGGTATTTGTAAAATTTACAAAATTTCTATGAATAATACCATTAGGGTTTCATTAATACTACAAAACGTTTTTCTAAACGGTATACATATTTGTCCAAAAAACAGTTCTATATATAGAACTGTTTTTTGGACAAATAATAATAACCATATTTATCAATGCGTTTCTGCATCTGGAAGAGTGTTATTTTTATAAACATAACGTAAATTTACTTTATAATTAATGCAAATGGTATTACTGAAAGCAGCGTTTGTAGATAAATAATTTTTATAAAAATGATCTTTACTTTATTAAGACAAAGTACTTTTTTTGTTATATTTAATCAAAACATTTTTGAGTGAACTGTTAATTTTAGTTTCTGATATAAGCATATGGCCCATCCTAAACCTCCCCCATAATACCGTAATAACCAATTTTATTAATTTTTCATCCTATAATACCCCAAAAAATCGCTTTTCGAAGCCGCAGGTGCTTGCACACGCGTAATCTCTCAAAAATCCCATCGCGGAACTCTTGACGATCGCGGCAAGCCGTGATCGATGAAAAATCCTCCTGCAAGGCTAATGTGATGATCCTCGAAAGATGGATGAAAGACGGATGTGCCGCGGTCCCGCGTCACATCCATCCAGCAGGCTGCCGCTGCGAATCGCTGCTGTCTTCGATACAAAACGATAAAAGGAAATTCGCGACTTTGAAAAATTGAACAAACATCATGCAAGATTAATAGGATTAATTATTGATTTGTATCCAGAAATTTTAAAAGAAAATTATGTAACAAGTTTGATAAACCAATTTAACAATCGAGCTTGCGAGCCAGTGATTAATTAAATGAGTGCCTAGAAAAGTTTATAAACGAGTTGCATACTATAATTTTTCTACGACTAATACTTAATATTATCTAAACCATGATTAAAATTAAATATATCTATAAAGCTACATCTATACGGAAATGTTAAAGGTACAAAAAGTGTATTTATTCGAATTCCCGTTAGAATTTCTAACTTGGGAATCAACCCGGGTTAAAATCTCAAATTTTTCTGTGCAAATCAAAATTTATCCCTTGAAAATAGACTAACAACCGATATAGAAGCAGTTTGCACAGTAAAAGAGAAGAGAATGTTTTATGGGCACTGTAGGCAAAATTTGTAACGCTTTATCAGTTAAATCTAGTTGACTGAACTACTACGGCGAAATCAAAAGGTACTGACAAAAGGAACTATTTAATAATTTTGTAGTTTTGTATAGAGACAATAAAATAATTTTCACATTTAGTATTATTTTACAAAAAAGGCACTTTATTTTAACGATTGACTTGACATTCACATGATGACATTTGACAACTGTCAACTAACATCAGCCCGTGACTAAAGCACCATAAAGCCACAACTTGCCAATGTGTATTTAAAAGGTCACTTAGTGTCATTGAATGTTTTAAATTATAAAACTTTAGCATTTTTACCATTAAATTATATTTAAAACTGTAGGTATGTAAAATAAAAAAAATCAAAATTAAACCACTGGCCTATTTAAAATGCTTGTTTAATTTTAAAAAAATTTTAATTATAATTATTATAATTATCACCAAATCCATAATTATGCAAAATAAAACATAAATGTTCATAATATTACATAATACACTGGATGTTTATTTTAAAACTTCCTACCCTTATTCCATTGAAATCTGAAATATTTTAAAAAACTCTTTAATCAATACAAATTGTTATCAAGGGCAAAATCAAGGTTATATTGTTAGTGAAATGGCAAAGTTATTAGATATATGCTTTCTTAGCCGTTTTCTTGCAGTAGAGGTGGGGTATTAAAAAAAATCCACAAATATGCACGAAAAATATAAAAATGGTCAAATCATGCGCTAATGTCAAAATATGCTTTTGTATAAAATTTTGGCGCATTACGTAATTTCGAAAAATTTGTAGTTATATTAACTTACCCTATGCATAACCCTTGAATACGATGGTCTGCCTGGGGCTGTCAAATCTGCAATATAAAATATACAAATTTAATTTCATAAAGTTCAAACACTATTTGATCTATTTTGCGTTCATAATGACTTCATTATAACACCGCTCTCGGTCTGTAATGAGATACTTTATCCCATCCAAAATTTTAATTTTATATGTTGGCTATACTTTAAACAGCATAATATTTTGCACATTGGTTATAATATTTTTATGAGACCAAATTTAATTTTAGGTATAAAATTATTTTTTTTTAGAATTTTTGTAAAATATATAAAGTAGCATAAAGAACTCATGTCATAAGACCTTTTGTGCGACAAAATGACGTCTTATGACATTAGTTCTTTAATATACTATTATAGTTTTAGTATTTTTAAGCTGAATTTTTTTGTTAGCTTTTAAATATTTTGTTCAACATTATTTTTTTAAAACAACACCATAATTTTAAGTAGACTGGCTTGATTGATATACATATGTAGTTTTAACTTTTAATATTAACATAAAAATAAATTTTGTCAAGAGACAGCAAAGACTGAATATAAAATTTACATAAATTTTAAGATTTTCCAGCTATTTTTCTTTTTAAGGACATACATTGTTGGGGAAACTTTAATTTTAATAAAAATTATTTAGGATTTTATTTTTTTTATTGGTAAAAAGCTAAATTTAAAAAATTAACCTTTGAAATACCGTTGATGACAATTATTACATTTTAACATAAACTTTTTAATATTAAAAAATTAAGAAGAATTTAAACAAACAAACAAACAAACAAACAAACATAAAATCCTTCATAATTCCGATGTCTGGCACATTTTGCGATATTAAATTTCGTTCGGGTCCGGTCCAGCCAGTGTTCATTAAAAATTAAGATACACCCATAATGGCAGATTTGATTAAAAACACATTAGAGCCCTGCGTGGTTATAATCTCTTCTTTATTAAATCCAAGCGGGCCCGGTATGAATTTTGGATAAGCCTGGAGCAAATTAGATTTCATAAATTAAATTTGCCGAGCAAAAAGTATTATTTCATTTTAAGAAAAAATGCATTCACCATTTTTTGTTATTTATGAATTATAGTGTGGTGTGGTGTTTTGCATATGTGTGGTGTTGGGAAATCGGGTTTTCTTTTGGAGCGTGTTAAAAGCTTTTAGTTGTTCTCTTTGTATATAAAATTATAAATTTCTTGGGAGGCGATATATTTTAACGTTGGCACAAATTAAAGTGCCCATCTAGGCAAGGTTTTGGTTATTTTAATTACACTTTAGTAGAATTAAATGTATTTTATCTTAAAAACTAATATTTTTTCTATTTAAATGATTTTTATTAGTAAATACATTTCAAAATTAAAAAAAATATATAAACTAAAATGATAATTTTATAGATCGTACAACTAATGTAAAAAACTTAAGTATTTAAGAAAAAATATAAAATATGTGTGTTTTTACATCTATGGATTTCTCCTTAAAAAAATAATATTGACTTTTAAAACTTAAAATTGCATAACGTAGGAAAATTTATAATTGGCCCAAGAGAGAATTGGATACCATTAATTTTTATTTAATAAGGAAACAGTTTTAACAGTCTAATTACACTAGTTTACAGTCATTTTGCCTACCATGTCTCACTATGATTTTCTTGTATAGTTTTGAAAATCACACTTAAATTTTTTTTATGGAAGCGTTTTTGAGATATGAATTTTCAATTGTTTTTTTTTTAATTTTCTGAGGTCTTTTGACGTTTTAGAGTATACTTCGAGTTCTAATTGATCGATTTGGCCAAACAAGCACTTGAATCAAAGGTAATTGAGCCCTCTACAACTTTCTCTTGTATAGTTTTGGTATTGGATCAGTAGTTTGATACTGGCGATTTTATTAAGTTTTTTTACAAAAATCAAGGTAGAAAATTTACATACCGTTCTGGAAAAGATAAAAATCGAAAAGAAAAGTCCAGTTTGATTTATTTTACGTATACATTATACTTAAAGGAAAAAATAAGCTGCTGTTGATAAAAATCCATGGATAAATGGCGAAGTTATGAGCTTTTCAGTGGAAGTCCAAAATTCAGCTTTTCGAGAATTTTTACGATTTTATTGAATTATATAAAATTTAATATTAAACATTGATTTTTATTTTAAACATTAAATATTGAAATTAAATATTGAACAATAAATATTGAACATTGAAGATATTGAAAGTTTTATTTTGTTGTAATACGCATAGGTTTAAAAAAATTCTGGCTCCTTTGTTTTTTGTTGCTTTCGTATTCCGTTTCTCGTATGAGGGACCAAATGTAATCACCCATCATGGCTGCATCCCATAAGCCATGATACCACCGCTCCATAGCCTTCATTTGCTGGTGAAAACGTTCTCATCACTAACGTCACCCAGATTGTCCGGGTTATTTACGCACTCGAACTTCTTTTACTTATTTTACACTTTTTATTAACTAAATAAAACCATGATAAAAATACCTTGTTGAAATATCAAAAAAGAGCAGTAAAATGTCACTATGCCAACACGAGAAACAAAATAATTCACGTTTGCGGAATCATGTCAAATTTAAATTTTGAATAATGTTTTCGGTGAAAAAAGTACGTAAAAAACTGAAAAAATTCCAATAATGCACTTTACTAAGTTTTCATTAAAGAATAAACATATTACAAAATAAAAGAAAAAAATAAAATAAAAAACGTCAAAAAGCTGAATTTTGGCCATTTTCCATGTATTTAAAATTCGTGACTAAACTGGCGTTTAAAATTAATTTAAACACCGTTAAACGATATTCATGACCTTCTACTTAATTCCATAATCTGGGGCATTAAAAAAATACTTTTTTAAATACATAATCCGCGACCATAAGCACATTAAATGAACGGACCCTTTTTACTTTTAAAATAAAATAAACAACCCTCTTAATCGTAGAAATCCGTTTTTAAAAATTATATTACACGGTCGGTTACTTTTCGCCAACCCTTTTTCGCAGAGCGGGCCACGAAAATCTTTAAACGATCGCGTCAGTGGCGTGCTGTCAAAACAGAAAAAAACGATACCTGCCGGGGGGATTTGAAAGTTAATTAGGGGATTGGGTTTTTAAGCTTTTTATAGGGTGATTTTTATATAATTTAAAAGTCGAAAGTAAGCTTAATTTGTTTGTCGAATAAATTAAACCGTTAAAGTAAAGTGGTTTGTTAAATACTGTATTCTGTGCACTGTAGATACAGTTTAATTGTCAAAAAAATTTTTGATTATTTTTTTCAAAATATTTCTTCTCTAAAATGAGTTAGTCAAAAATGTCTAATTGTCATAGAGAAAAAGCAGCCACTAATAATTCTCGTCAATAGCAATTTGTATCCCAAACATTTAGCATTTAATTTCCATGTATAATTGTCCCCTGAATCCGTAAATGTCATCAAAAGTTAGAGAAGCAAAACACTTTTTGAAATATAATCAATTTTCCACATAAAATGGAATTGACTATATCTCAAAAACTGCTCTACTTTCATAATTTTTGTAAAGTAAAGATCCCTATTAGTCCAACAATTGCTTTTGTTACGGGAAAAAGCATTTGCATTAAATATAAAGTAAATTTACGTTATGTTTATAAAAATAATACTCTTCCAGATGCAAAAACGCATTTATTATTTATCCAAAAAAACAGTTCTATACCATTTACAAAAACGTTTTATAGTATTAATGAAACCCTAATGGTATTATTCATAGAAATTTTGTAAATTTTACAAATCCCTTTTCGTTTAAAATAAAACTTTTTTATAATATTAATAAAAATTTTGTAGATTTAACAAAAAATTAATTGTTAATTCAATAAACAATTATCATTGTAACAATGGTCACATTTTCAACCTACTGTTAGGTGTTGGGTAGTTTTTTTAAATTAATTCCAAGTCATTAAAACAAATTATTTATTACAACAAAAAAATTAACTCATATTATATGACTTACAAAATAAAAAAATTATTAACTCACTTTTTAAACAACAAGTCTGCTTCGTTTATACAATAGACCTTTAATATTTCTTTTAGAAAACGTCGAAATTTTAATTTTCTTAGTGATCTTTTTGATATTTTTATCATGCTAGATTTTACCACACTTCACTCGCACAAGTAAAATCAATAAGATTATAACACAGACTGTGGATTATAAAGTTATATTCACCAAGGAGAGCGTTGGCCCTTTCCCCCTCTTTTTAAGGGAAATAAAAAAAATTTTGTTACCATTGCAAAACAATAGTAAATATTAAAAAAGTCTTTTTATAGCAATAAAATATTTTTGTTATTATTCTTCACGTAAGCTATTAACAAAGATTTTCTAACTGAAATAAAATTAATTTGAATTACAACGATAGTAATTTAAAAAAGACAAATATGCCACAGTAAAATGAACCAATTTTACTATAACAACTGCGCGTTACTTTATGAAAGCGCAATTCAAACACAACTATAGATTTAACAAAAACGTTTTAACTTCAACAAGATTTAATATAAATATAAAGTAGTTCTTATTGCCATGACAATATGATAACAACTATTACTTTGTTGGATGAACATTTTTTTATAAAAGCTTAAAATTGCTGCCAATGGTACATTTTTTATAGCCATTACAATTTTAAATTTAAGTTAAATAATATTATTTTATTATTCGCTTACAAAATTAGTAAATGTTATAGAATAACTGGGAAACTAAACCTTGGGTGAAATGAAAAGAACCTTTTGCCCGAAATGCCCCATTGAAAATATTGTTGCGGATTGGCAGTAAAATTTGGAACAAAGCCGCTCAAAATATTAATTTAGAAGGCCCGCCGCCGCATGCCGCCGTTCGCTTGCCGCCTATTCTAAACAGCGGCGTGCAACGGCGCATATTGGTCTAACGTCCCTTATGTGTGTCCGCCACAGATTCCAGCTCCTAATTAAGACTGGGGAAAGGGGGTCCAAAGAAGGATATTGATCAAGTCAGACCGAGAGCAAAGGGCACGTACTGCATGTACTTATTCGCTGTGAT